AACAAACCTTAAGAGCTTTTAAGGCACCCAGTTTAAGAAGTCGTAAGTTTGTGAACAGGCCTTAACGGCTGGCCAGTGGAACATACCGGAATACGTAACAAACAACTGCTTGACGCGTTTATCGAAATACACGTATACCAAAACGTTCCTACACCCTAGTGTAGGAACGTGTCTGCACATCGAAACGCTCTATCACATAAAATTCGTACATAAATATCCTACAACGAAACGCCCGCACACTAGAACCGTTCTAACACGTAAAATCTAGCCATAAGTGATCTACAACGAAGACTCTGCACCCCAAAACTTTCTAGCCCATGAAATCAGGACATAAACGGTCTACAAACGAAGCGTCTCCACGCCAAAACGCTCCAGCGCAAAAAGTGAGGACAGATAAGACCTACAATTAAGTGTCCCACACACGTGTAGGTTTTAGACCCATAACTGAGCGCTTGGGCAAGTATAAAATATAGTGCTATTCCTCTCGATACCTTTTATCTTTAAGGTTTGGTAGCGGGGACGAGAGGAGCCTCAGACCTAATGAAAAAAAAAAAGTTACTATGAAAAGCGACAAAAACAATCCCAAAACCAAAATAAGCAAGTGCAGCCGAGGCGCTCGTTAACTTTCCAGACTTTCTACGTATACATTTCACAAACCGCTCGCGCCTTACATCGTCTGAAACTTTCCCATGCATTAATTCTAAAACATATACCAATTAGCATCGTTTTTCAACATTTCATTTATAGTACCTGTATAATTAAGCTAAGAGGAAATGTGCAGTCATTAATGTAATCGTAAAGCCTACTCTCCGGAAATGTTCTACTAGAAAGGCTTCGGCTAGCCCCCAAAATAGAGATGTTTGTACAGTCCCAGTTTTCTTTAGTACGGTTGGGCACAAACTTGTACGGTATACTCATTACAATTAATAAAATTGCTCGTAGCCGATAATTTGTTGGAGTAATTTTGTATTCTTTTGATTAAATGTATAAGAAAGTAATCGCAAGTTGAATCTGATTGCCTTTGCAACTATTAAAATTACTTGTATCCGTTCTTGTTTTTTTTCCTTTCTAATCGCGCGTTTTGTTATTTGTACAAATTTCCTACTAAGGAATTCTCAAACCAAGTTTTTACAGAAGTATACTACTCCGAAAATGGTGGATTGACAAGATAAGTATTTTCTAATTCGATAATAGAGAGTTTTAAGGAACCGTTTTTGCACATCAGATACGGTACGGTGGGCCCTCCAGAACGAATTGCGCATGCGCTGCCACAGAAGACTCGCGTATGCGCAGTTCGCGCAGGAGGGCCCGTCGTCCCGTATCGTATGTACGAAAATGGTTCCTTAAAACTCCCTAATGGACATTGAGAAAGACCTGTTTTCAAACCGGCACAAAGATACGTCGTTTTGAAAATGTGAACTAATCGAAAAGTAACGGTAACTTTTTCAAGCAATGGTCAATTACTTTTCTCTTCAAGTAATTAAGCAATATAATTCAATACTTTCATCCAAGAACAATTGTCAGTGTAATCTATTTTTTTTTTCATTGGCGTCAATACGAAATTATCCGTCATAGTGCTAAAGTTTAGTGTTTTTTTACTCTCATTAATAAATATCTGTTGGATGGGGTCATAAAAATAAACATTGACAAAAGGAAAGGAAGAGGTTCCTTGTGTGTTTCTAAAATAGCGCCTTAAATTATTTTCTTGTTCGCAACCTGGCGAGAATATTTCACTCCGGGCTTAGCAAAAAAGAATAATAATACCACGGGATAAAAAATGTGATAAAGCGATCCTGTTTTATAAACGAGGCTCTAAAATTAGCTGAGCAATTATTGACCCATTCCGTTCAGCAGCGCATGCTGTAAAGCATTGGAATACATATTCAATAGCATTTCACTAGTAAAATATTTTAAATGCATAAGACATATCTGGTACAATAAACGTAAATAATAAAATAAGATCATAATGGACCTTAAAGGAACCTTTTAAGAACATATCAGCACAAAATAAGAGTGTATAATAAATTATAAGAAACGTCATACCAGTTTCTTGGAAATCCTTATAACTCTCGTACGGTTCTTATATGTTAATATATGATATTAATTAATCATATGCGTTTATTGGACCAAAAGTGTATTACACATTTGTTTACTACGGTTCATACATTTTGTAAAAGTCAAACACATTTGGGACACTAATCAACGGTTTTATGAATGTGAACTTCCCTAGTAGGCAGCTTTGGTAATGATAGCGTCAGCGTAGATAAATGAGGGCAGGCGGATATATATTGTGTTTTTAGGTTTTTAAAATTTTTCGATGTCGTATCACTTTCCAAATATTTCTATAATCTTTGCTAGATTTTAAAGAATAGCCAAACTGTTTATTGAATGGCAGAGTAAATGAAATGATGGGAGCGATTTGCTTTTATAAAAAATGTAAATAAATACTATATATAACCAGTAAGCACACTTTGCTGTTGGTTCAGAGCATGGGTTGCAAAGCAAGACTGATTTTATCTAAACAACATATTTTAATCCAAATCATCTAATTTAATCTTATTTAATATTTTTTTTTTACGTTGAGAGAATGCTTAACACGCCCTTGCATAAAGTAGAAAATAATTATGCTGAACAAGACATAGATCCAAGAATAAAAGGAGACGCTCTAAATTCTATCGAATTCAAGAACAAAAGTTAATCTTTAAGTGTAATTGATTGCCTTTCGCTTAACCAGGTTACTGATTTTAAGCACATGGCCGGGTATATACCTGGGATCCGACCCGAACTAATAGTTTAGTGGAAAATGTATGCATTTTTTTAAAAAAACTTTGGTTGCTGAAAACAATTATGTAACACTTAAAGTCGGTAGTAAAAACGCACTTCTTAAATTTATTATTTGGCCAAACATTAATAACCCCACTCTTGTCTGAGAGACATGTACCGGTCAGAAGAATATAATATAGTAGTCTTTTTTTAATGCTATTTTGATTGATATGCAACAGTTACACGTAGCCGATTGTGTCACTAACTTCAAGGCAATGTATAAGATAATTCATAGCCTCCTTTATACTGATAATGCCTGCCCAATGGTTGGCTTCCCCATGCTTCGTCGTCGTTGCGCCTGTTTCACATATTTGCTACTAGAGGCGCCAAAACCCCATACAAAAATGCAGACGACGCTTCTCCGCTGCCCGCTGCTACAGTCCACTGTGACGCCATTTGTGAATTGAATACATTCGTAACCCATGCTACATAGCTAGCGCAAAGCACCGTCATTATAGTTTTCATATATAAAAGGAGTCTTAAGCTTTCTTTTAGCTTTCACTTCTTGATTTTGTTTCTATGCTGAAATGTTACCAGACCTCTGGTGCTTGTCATAGCGACTACAGTAATAGTCAATCCAAATTAAAAAGGAGACAGACAGGCTGGCGAACGTTCACGACGTTGCAACAGCAACCACTTGGCGTTTTTATTGCTTCTGGAGCAGAGCCGGAAAACATACGGCCTGCGGACCACATGCGGCAGTCAAGGGATTTTTCTCAGGACCGCGAACGAGCTTTCGCTGATCGAAATCCGGCGCACCCGTCGGCAACGCTCTGACCGGGGACCTTAAAATGCATTTTCAATTTTCTTTTTAACTTTTTTTAAGCTCAAAGCTTTTTTTTATGTTTTTGACCGGTTTCTTCTGGTCTGCATTGTTTTTCACGGATGCAGTTCTAGAGCTTTAACGATTTCCTAGATAGTGATTCGCTGAAGATCTTCTTTAGGTCATGCTTGTCAGTCACGGATGCAGAGTAGTTTGTGAAAATTGGCCTGAAATACTTAGTACACAGAATTTGCAGGAAATCTTTGTAATGGTTGACATCTTTATCTGCCTTTGCGCATTTCAGAGCCCCATGGTGCATAAGTGTATCTAACGCAGTCTCAACAGCTGCATGCAAAGGCTTTTTCAGCATATTTCGTTTTTTTCAGTAAAACCTCTACGGAGTTCTTCAGCGCACTACTAGCTTCTCCGATGGATAGTATAGTCCTCCCCTGTCCTGGTGCCTGATGAGGGAATCACTGTGAGCCGTAGAAGCATGTGTAATAACCAGTAGGAAGCAGTCACTGCAGTTGACATGTTCCTTCACCACCCGTGCCAAATATCCACCTACTACTAGATGACGCCACACGCACGCCGTGTGGCGTCACGGTGTGCGTGCCAGGAGCCGCAGACAGCCTCGTGCTATTGAGCTATGCCGGCTATGGCTAGGAGTTCTAGAGCTCTGCGAGTCGAACGACGACCGAAAGAAGTTACTCGTGTCACAAAAACATTACGTGATCACGTGACCTATTTGAACACGTAAGGTCACGTTACCGCGTAACCTAACATGGAAAACTTGCGTTATCACATAGCTTAACGTGATAACGTAGCTTACGCTAGCTACAGTGAACTGTAGTAGCAGACAGCGGACAAGCGTCGTCTGCTTTTCTGTATGGGGTTTTGGCGCCCCTAGTAGCAAATATCTGAAGTAGGCGCGACGACGACAAAGAAACCATTGGGCAGGCATTTTCAGTATAAAGGAGGCTATGGATAATTACGCTATTTTATGAATTTTATGACACCATGAGATAAAAACTTAAAATATAAAGTTATCTGAGCCTATCTTACATAAAATGTAGAAAGCCTTTATACCTAAATCAGAGTTGCTGCTTGACTGATCCTTTCAAACTCCCAATTTTCGCCCAATGTATTAATGCGTGCAATAAGCTCGCTGCCTGTATTTAGAATTCTGAAAATTTCAGTATTTCACTCTTGCACTGACCTCACCAATTAAAGCATGAACAAATTAATACGTTTCACCATAGTTAATATAAGCTCCTGTTCACTGCACGGCACTGTGGAAACATGCTTTGACTACTAAACTGGAGTGAATGATTGCAAGGGATCCCGAGAGATCATGCACCTTCTCTCAAAGATACGTAACATCATCGCGTCAAAAAGAGTGACGAAGCCTCACCTCAAATACGGAAGTTACTCCAAGTTTGTAGATGACCGGAACAATCACTCTGGAGATGAACGGGATCAAGAATAAAGCGGGTATGGTTACCCAGAGAAAGTGCAGTCCGTGAGTGTAGAAGTGCGCCGTCAAGCCCACTAGGCCGATTGCAGTTACCGACGATGCGAGGATGGACATGGACAGCGGAAGGATGCCCAGAGTCCGACTTCCCAGAAACGTCTCGTCTGTGTTCGAGTTTAGGGCGCGACCTCGGAACGCGAATATCAAACCGACGGCGAGGTTCAAAATCATCAGGACTGCGAAAACCACATACTCAGCCACGTGAACCACTGCACCCATTGCACTGCTTGACTGTCTCGGGGAGCTTCAGACGTCTTTGACAAAATCTCGAGGCGAAAAGATGTGCAGGTGGGATGGCTGGGGACAAGACGAGCCCGCGCTGATCTTGTCACAATCTCCGACTTGCGTTGATTTGCAGGTGACTGCTGGAGACTCTGCGAACTAAGTTTGTGACTCTAGCTTTCGTTGAGAAGGCTTTTTGTTTCTTCGTACTGGCGGTGGTTGCGTTTTCTTGTTCAGTTGCAGTGTTACTGAGCATGAGCTGGCGACAAACAGGGGTATATTCAATCGTCTTCAAAAAATGCTTTATCTTAACGTATCACGTAAGTTCCTGCCTCTTTGCGATAGTGATGAGTGGAAAATGCCATCGGTTTATGGCGTCAATCTAAGTGCTCGGCCAACCCATCCACGTTCTGAGAAAAGTTCTGAAGCTGAGTAATCACAGATAAAGGAAGCGCGGCTGTTTTTAGAGGAGAATGATGATATTACACCATTCGCGTATGACGGAGATTCGCGACCTTTATAGGCTACGTGTGAAGTCGGGATGTTTAACAGCTGTAACAGCAGCTCGCCAAACTTGCGCTTTATTTCATAAGAATGCGTTCAGGGCGGGGAGGTGGGGCGCATTTTTTCGGTGTAAGAAACGCATGCCAGGGGCGGTGCTAGTTTCAAAACTTTCGCAACACAAAATTGTGCGCATTCGAATACTGCAAGCAGCCATTCAGGCGTAGTCAACGTCTTAAGATATGTAAGTTGGTAAGCTTTACAGACGAGCGTCGCTCGAAAAAAGTTTTTCGATGTTACCTCCCGGGAGTAGGTGCGGGCGGTTAGCGTTCATAACGCCAACAGCAGCAACCCCGTCACAAGCAGCGAAGAAGGGCCGTTTTATGAAGGACGGCTTGTTTGATCAACTTTTGAGCAATCTCTATGTTTATCGTAAAAATCGCAATCACTTTCCACGGCAGGCAAAGTGCATCGAACGTTCCACCGGTTCCGCTGTTTCTGCCTATATAGGAGGGGGCTGGGGGGGGGGGGGGGGGGCGGTTGGAAGGGGAACTGAACGCAGAGAGTGCCACCGAGCAAAATTGTCACGAAAGGGCGCCAGGCGTTCTACGAGGCCTGTCAACTGACTTCGATCTAGTAACGTTGAGCGCAATATTCGTGAAACGCACCTCCACTTTACTCACTGAGAGGACAAGAACGGCCGGAAAGTCCATTCAGCTCTCTCGTCTCCAGCGCGAGCAAGGAGGGGGGTAGGCTGAAATATAAAAAAAAAACAGAAAAAAATGAACTCACGGGCGACTGCCAAAAATTAATACCCAGTTCTCTTAAAAGGATTGTCCGGGGATACCCTAAAGTTACTAAGTTTTGTCGCTGGTCACGTACAGAGGCCTAAATATTGCCATATGGAATAGTTATTTCATTAAAAAGGCCCCAATATTCGTTAAGGGGGGACATGGCCTGGGAGGGTCAACTTTTGAAGCAATGTCTCAAATTGATTCAAACTTTCAGGGTGAATTGAACCCCATTAGGATTGATGACACCCAAAGTTGCAGTCTTATAGGCCAATTCTACAACATACTATGCTTAACAAGCTCCAGAAAAAAGTTACTTTATTAGGAAATGTATTAAAGAAAAATAATAATTGCAATCCACAAAATGTTTGGTCTAATGTGAAGTAGAATACCCATAGTGCAAGTTAAGGTAAAAATTAATTGTAGAAAATGCAATTCTAGAGAAAAACAATCACACCCAAAAAGAGCAAACTATTTTAACAAATTTCTGCGTTCTAAAATATTCAATTTTTGTCATGAAAAATTTAGCTTTTTCAGAATATGAGTACGTTAACTTGTTACTCAGAAAAATTTCAGTCCAGGACACCACTGAATGAAATCTTTACACTTTCAAAATGTCCGATGATACATTTCCTCATACCACATTTCCTGCCAAAAAGTGAAACTGAGAAAAATGCATTTGAAGTTTCAACTCTAGGTTTCTTTTTTTTTTCTGTGAGTCCGAGGTAGGCAAAATTCACCCGACGCATTGTTAGCACCTCCCTCTTTGAGACTTCCCTGATCCCCTGGCAATAGCTACCAGTTTCTGTTGTTTGTAGGCACGCTAACGTTTGTAGCAGGCATTCACTGACAGATAAACTGGCAAGAAGTAAGAGGCAAATCACACTGAGGAAGAGCAGCAAAGCAGGAATAGGATCTCAAGTGGAAGATACTGTAAAGGGGCGTTATTGAAGATGACACAATATCACATCACCGGGAAGGACCAATCGTAAACCCTGTTTCAGGTCTCACCCAATAAGATTGCTCGTACCAAATTTTCAGAATTTTTTCTATTTGGATGCATTGGGTTCTCCTGGCCATTGATATTTGCAAGCTTGGAAAGCTTCTACGGGCTAAATATAGAGTAAATGGCACTTCCAATGAGGGTGAGATCTTCTGGCTAGGTTAAACGAGTATGAAGCAGCGGTAAATAAAAAACGCAAAAAACTTGCTCCCTGCTGACTCTGAGGGCTGCCAACATGTCGGAAATATTTTATTCTGAGATAAATCCTGCATGTTTATAAATGAAAGTTTCTGAAACCATTCCTTGGAAGTTAATAAGCATAAACATATCATTTTCGAAAAAACGTTTTTTTTTTCTGGAAATTTTGAATTCCGAGGCCATGTCCCCCATCAGTTATGAACGAAACTTCAACAAATTAAGACATTGTGCTAATTTTAATTCAAGTAGGGAGATGTACTATTTTTTGACAAAAGATATTGTGCTAATTTTAATCTAAGTAGGGAAGAAATACTATTTTTGGTCAAAATAAGACATTGTGCTAATTTGAATCCATGTAGGAAGATGTACTATTTTTCGTCAAAATAGGACATTGTGCTTATTTTAATACAAGTAGAATGAAATACTATTTTTTACCAAATTAAGACATTATGCTAATGTTAATCTAATTAGGGAGATGCACTATTTTTGTCAAAAGGAGATATTGTGCTAATTTTAGTCCAAGTAGGGAGGTGTCTTATTTTTTGCCAATATAAGAGATTGTCCTAAATTTAATCCAAGTGGGGAGATTTACTATTTTTTGCCAAAAAAAGACATTTCGCTAATATTAATCCAAGGAGGGAGCTGTACTATATTTTGTCAAAATAAGGCATTGCGCTATTTTTTATCCTAGTAGGGAGATGTACTATTTTCGGTCAAAATAATACATTACGCTAATTTTATTCCAAGTAGGAAGATGTACTATTTTTTGTCAAATTAAGACATTCTGCTAATTTATTCCAAGTAGGGAGATGTACTTTTTTCGTCATAATGAGACATTGTGCTAATTTTACTTCAGTAGGAAGGTGTACCATTTTTCGTCAAAATAAAACATTAAGCTAATTGTATTCCAAGAAGGGAGATGTACTAGTTTTGCGAAAAATTGACACATTGCGCGAATTTTAATCCAAGAAGGGAGATGTACTGTTTTTGGTCAAAATAAGACATTGTGCTAATTTTAATCCAAGTAGGCAGATGTACCATTTCTCGTCATATTGAGACATTGTACTAATCTGAATACACGTAAGGAGATGTACTATTTTTTGTCAAAATATGACATTCCCTAGAAAGATGAACAAACCCCCTAGACCAGAAACGGAACTAAAAAAATTAACAAACCGACTTTCTTCTCGTTCTTCTCTAAGGACGCGTTAAATAGTCAGTCGATACTCGATAGTAACGCTTGTTGCGTCTCTATTTTTATCCTATTTTTGCAATGTTTTCGAGATGATCACACTGGCCCAACAATACACTTTTGATTAATTTCCAATACGACAACATATCGAGAAAAGCGATCGCCACTTACCTTTCAACGGATTGGACTCTAACTTCTCACGCCTCGTGACGAACCCGTGTTTCGCTTCAAAGTGGCGCACCAAGCCCCCATGGAACGCAAAAGAAGCCGTTGGACACAGATCGCATGCAAGGCTGCAATGGTCAAGGGGAAGTGTGACCCAGCTCGGGTCAGATACCCTGTGGACCTCCTTTAAATGCCTCTTTAAGTTGTAGATTTTCTTGAAACACCTGTCACAAATCGTGCACTTGTACTTATCTGGGTTGGTTTTAGAAGAAACACCACCGCTTCCTCCAGGTTCCGCACGTTCGGCCATAGGAAGGAAAGACGAATGCGAACAGACCTAACTTCTTAAAATTTAGGTTATCACCCCCCGGTAGCGCACTGCACCTAAATTAAGGCACGCGACGCGGTTATGCGAGCACAAGGAAAAATAGGGACGGCGATTGTACGAAGTGATAAGGCGTTATATCACTGGCATACACAAAAGTTACGGGGCAACCACTAACGATTCGAATTTCAAACTGAGAACTGTTGAAAAAAGCGAGGCCAGGGTGGCGCCAGTGGGCGAGTCATATCAGAGAATCATACGTGAAGCTATCATGATATGGGATGGTGGAGAAATAAACAAGTTAGCTGAGTTTGAGACGTCCCTTTCTGTGTCTGTTACGTCTACTAAAAAGTTTCCAATTTCTTCACCACAGTCTTAGGTGTTATTTGACATGATTATCATCATCATTACCACTACGCGAACGGTTTCCCTACGAGCGGTTTTCCCTCCGCTGGCGTTGTCCCCAGATCTACGCACGGGCAGATCTCTGGATAGGCGCTCACCGCGGAACTACAGTGGCGGAACCACGCGGAACTGTGTCGACGTTTTCAGCGTTATGGAAATCGCAGGGACTGCGTCGAAGACAGGCATGTTTTGCTGCCGGCTGCCTGGGTGCCTTCCGCGGGCTGAGTTCGCTTCTGTTTTCCGATGCCGAGTGCCAACCGGCGTTCAATGTGGTTCTGTATTTCTTCGTGTCAGCAACATAGCAGCAACATTGTGATGGCAGTGTTGTGCATTGTGAACAGAAGACCGTAATTATCGCCGATGTGACCTTGTGTTAGCGCATCAGTGGTGTAACAACAAGATGAGGTGACGTAAACTGTCGGG